AGCTTTAAAGTAAAAAGACTTTCAAACGAGAACGCTCACTTCACTCATCAGCAATCTCCCCTTAAAGTATGTAAATGAGAGCATTTGGAAAATTAGAGACGTCACTACAGTCATAAGAATTAGGCTCTTTTGTCAGAGTGTGCATTAATATGTAAGATATGTCAGCCTCCTTATGGCTGCAAAATGTTACTGAGCTGAAGTTCTGGAAAGACAGTTTTTAAATCCACCAGCTTCACTTCAGGTGATTTTTATTTCAATCTAATATACATTTGCTTTTACTATAGCTGCTCTTTATTGTTTATAATGTTCCTTTTGCTCCTTAACAACTCAAAAGACATTTTTTTACATGAAAAATAGCTGTGGTAACCTCCATTAACAGTATGTTCAAAACATCTAGAGCAAAGGTTAGAAGAGCTTTATTTTGGGTTGGTTTTTAACAGGAATCTCAAAGACGACTCGTGATCCTTCTTTCTAATAAACCTGGATTTCAGAGCCTGCGCTGCTGTTAAACAGGGAGTCATATGATAGTTGTTCAAGATTCAGCAGGATAAAAAAAACCCAGCAAGGATTAGCTGAAATACTTGGAGCATGACTCAGCTGACTCTGGTTGTCTCTTGGCTTTGACTATTTTTGGGAATGGTATGCATGTTTAACCTTAAAAACAGCAAATAACCTGACTGTGAGAAAACCACTGCATTATCCATAAATATGCTCTTAGCTCTGCCAACAGATGAAAAGTGAACTGTGTTAAATAGCAGAATAAAAGTGCAACAATCCACACCAAACCATGATTCACACTTCACAAGAATCAACAAATAAATCCTGGCTGTTTTTAAAATTATTGTTATCGCCGGCTGCTTAAAGCTGACTCACGATCCAACAAAGGTCAGCCAGGTCATCTGGACGGTTTCGTTTTATTTATTTTTTTGTTGTTGAGCTGTTTCGTCCTTCATCCAAAGGACTTAATCAATCCATAAACTGTAGGACTCAGTTTGTTGTTTTGTTGAGCTGTGTCTCCTCGGACTGATGAAGTTCACTGGATGAAGGAAGAAACGTTCCAACAGCAAAAATAAACTGTTGACTTGACTGAACTTTGTTGGATTTTCTACTGGGATTATTGAGCATGAACTTTGATGCTTTGAACCTCTTCACCATTTGCTCCTGTCAAGGGTGGACACTTTCCTTCTCCTCTCCCTCCTCCGCTTTGCTTTGCTCTGTCCTGTCTGTGAAACTGCGTCACAGCCTCTCTCTACATATCTTCTGAACCATAACTGTTTGTTATGGATCTGGTCAGTTGGTCTCTCAACACAACTGATTAAATTTTCTCGACGAGAAGACAAGCGCCAAGGATGCATATTGTATTTATGATAACTGGTTTTTGGATTCGGCTGGTTCCTGGTCTATCAACAAACAAGGAAGTTGTCTGCAGCAGATTTGGCCCTGGTCAGATTACCTGCATTTGTCCACTCAATTTGGATGATTGGGAATCAAGAGGATCAGCAAAGACTCAAGGCAGACATGAATCTGTAAAGTTCTGCCTGTTCCCAAAACATTTGTTGCTTATCTGAATTTGGTTCCCTGGCTGGCCTTGACTGGCCACCTTATCTCAATTTGCCTGGAGAACCTGTAAATTGATGCTCTGCCCACTCCTTTCCCCTCTCACCGAGGAAGTCTGCGGACCTATCAGAGGGACCCGGTTCAATAAATGTTCCATCATTTCAGGACTTGGATTCTCTCTGGTGCTTTTTCCAGGTTGACCTCGGCTCAAGAGTGTTTATGGATCTCACCAGAGGGAACTGACTGATTGTACCATTCTTATCAGACTATTTCAGTGTCTCTGGAGTGTCCTTGACACGAGCACCGCTCTTGTCGTCTCCCCTCCCCTGCGAAATGTCTACGTCACTATGTGCCTATGTGCGGGGTGGTTTTTTCAATATCAGGGTTTTTCTCCTCGGTCAAGGAGAAGGAGTTTGATGGGCATTTTTTTGCCTCCAAATCCATTACATGTGTCACTTTCATTACTTTTTGTCCGTCCAAACAGGTCTCACTTGTAAATGAGTCTTTGAGGCTCATTGTGATCTAGCTGTCTAAATAAAGGTTGAATGAATGAACTTCGGCTGTGGCTGCCTCAGAGGAGTCGACGGGGGAGAGGGTGGGCCCCGGAAGACATCTTATCACCATCAAACTTGTTAGTCCACTGTGTGGGTTTGCTGTTTGTGGCTCCTTGGATTGAAGAAGTTCTTTGGATGAAGGACAAAATGTCTCAACAAAAAAAAAAAAAGAAATCGTCCAGATGACCTGACTGATCTTTGTTGGATTTTCTACCTGGATTATTGAGCATGAACTTTAATGCTGAGTGACAATGTTTATGTGCACATGTGTCTCTGTTACAAAAAATATTTTTTATGAAACTTCCAGAAATTAACCACTGGATATAGATCTACACGTGATCAACTTTTGAATTCAACTTGATTCAAGATGGCTGCCAACGACTAATTGTCATTACCAACAAGCATGTGGCTAAAACCCGGTCAGTTTTACACATATTTAGCTCAAACTGGATGTGGTAGTAGCTGAGAATCATTACTAACACATACTCTGTGACATCTCACAACCTTGCATAAAGTTTTTTTTCAAGGTTTGACCACAGCGATAAACAATTTTTCCACACATGATGATCTTAGTCTAAAACTCTGGCATGAAAGGGAGTTTGAAATTTGCATCCCTTACAGAAATACTAGTTTTTATTCAGACATGTTTGAACCCTAGATGGAAGTATAAACTACATGGTTAAGCTCAAGGTCAGCACTCTAAACAACGGAACACAAAAGGCCAGCGGATCAGGTCCCAAACCCCTTCTTTGAAAACAAGAACTCCAGCAGCATAATCGGCCTAAGCCCTTTCATCACGTCTCAGACTGGGCTGCATGAGGATGAAGAATAAACACAAAAAGAAAGTAAAAAAAAAAAAAGGAATGCTCGATGCTGATCAGCTTTGAATTTCACGCAGGTGAGATCAACGACTTTCTAAAGTCTGAATCAGAGAAAGAATTTGAGGGGGATGAATAAAAAAGGAAAGAAAGTGGGAAGTACACGGTACAAAAGGAATGATGGAAAAAAGCAAAGGAAGAAGACAGATGTCTTAATATTCTGATGGCAACATAAGGTGGAGTGATGATAGCAAAAACAACTATATGATCTATATGACTTAATCTTCACTCCAAAGTAAATTAAACTTTAAATATTTTAAAGTTATAACTGGAACAGAATGTAAAAACTCAACCTGCACCAAAACGACCAGCTCCATATCTCAGATACACACAGTGTGAACCACAGAGCACCCTTAAAGACTCACAACACACCTAGTGGCTTGTCTGTTGCACATTGTTGCCAATAAAATGCAACAACTACTCTTTGTAATAATCACACGACTATTCCTTCAAAAACACAACGCGTTACCAAGAGTTTCAGCCAAACATGCAGGGATTCATGCAAAGAATCCATTCCAGCAAGCTGCAGTCAGGACACTTTATGAAGACTTTCCTCCTTAAAGCACACATTTTGTTTCAGCTATAATATATTCAATTGAAAACGTACAATATATGTACAGAATCACATTTAGGTTTGTTTGGGAATAATCCACCAGATCAAACTTTCTGATACATGGTCGTGTGAAGTACTTTTAGTAAATGGCACACCTGCAGCAGACAGCAACCAGGGAGGATTCATGAACGATAAACTGAGCTCAAATGTATCCATTTGGTGTTTAAACTAACATTATATTTTAATAAATGCACAAAATACCATTAAAACTGTAACAGAGTAGATTCTTGTATTACATAACTTGCATTAGACAAGTTTATGCTGCAATTACTTCTTAAATTGGACAATATTAAAACTATGTCGCTGCACAATTTAATTTTTCCAATTCTCAAAACACGAATAGATTAAAAAAAAAATGCATTTAGCAAATATACAGTAGTCCCTCGTTTATTGCGGTGGGTTTCGCTCTCAGTCCACCTGCGATAAGTGAAAAAATGCAAAGTAGGAATAGTAGTACAAGTAGTAAGTAGTAGTTTATTTTAGTATTCATATATATAGATATATATATTAATACATTTTAAACCCTTCCAATACTCTTGCAATACTCTAAACAATGTTTCTAAACTCTAAACTCTCTAAAAAAGCCTAGCATGTCATAATCTCCACTCTCTCTGCCACCTGCTAGCACTCTTGGCCACACCCACTTTCCCGCTGCAGAACGGAGATCATGACATGCTGCAGGAGGGAGCTTCTCCCTGCACATGTGTGTTGCACATGGATGCAGCAGGTGCTAAATAGTTTAAAATAATTTATTTTAAATAAAAATGTCCATGCCGATCTTGCGGCTCATCCATCAAGCTGCCATTATGTGTCATGTCCAGTCTTACTTTGAATACCCGCGAAAGCGCGAAGTAGCGAGAGACTACTGTAATCTTTTCATATCGCTGTAAATGCAATATCTAAAAATATTCCACCCAAATTTCTCAAGACACCCTGATAGACTCTGTTTGATGGAGAAAATATTAAAGCAAATAGTTTATCTGATACTAAAGGGAGATGGAGTTGTAGTCGATTTACATTTTTTGAGATTTAAGTTGATTTCTTTTGTAAAACAAACAAAAAAATTGAATGATTTTCACAGTATTGCTATTTGGAGTTGCTGCTGAACTTTGTCAAGACTCTTCTCTGAAAATCCAAGATTGCACAGATGGCCGTCTACTGTAGGTAAGACACGAACTACTCCTAAGTACTTCATAAATCCCCAACTAAATAATAATAATAAATATTTATTTGGCACATTTGTGGACATACTTATACTGCAGAGAAATACATAATACCATATTTTATGTACTAACAGGTTTACTTGAGGCTGGAACGATGCATCAGGCTGAGCTCGGCAACAAGCAGGAAGCACAGACAGATTGACAAAAATGAACAAATGCACAAAATCAAACTTACTGGGAATGCCCGAGGTTAAGGCTGGCAGAGGCTCTGGAAAAGAGAAAGAATAAAAATTACTGGAAGTGAAATTAATAGGAGTGTCTGAAATATTTAGGATTGAACAAGAATCCTGTCAGTTGCTAAGATCTTTTATTTTATTTTATTTGATTCAGAATCTCTTAAAATTATGACATAAACGTTTGTGTAAAAATATTTTGGTAGTGCTCCATTTCAGATTGTATGGTGAAATGTTTCATATTGAAACTCATAATTTAAAAACATTTTATGCTGACAAAACAATACCACATATCTTTCTTTGCAGCATCACTTGTTAGTCCTATGTGGAAAAAAATCCATACCAATTTGCCATGCTTAGAAATATCCATAACATTTCTTGAAAGTACTTTTTACAAAATGGCAAACACAAAACCACAAGTTTTTTATTTATTTCTTGTTAATTGTTTTCTGTTTTTAATGCTTTATTTACTTTCTATTCAGATTTTACCTTCTTTTTCTTAATTAAAAAATGTTTTAATGTCAAACATAATGGTAAAAAAAAGTCATGAAATGATGAGCAATGAAAGGGCAATGAAATATGAAGTTAAATCCTCTTTATAAGTAAAATCAACTCATTTCCATAAACAGTGTCTAGTACATAAACAACAATTCTATCTTTTATTAAATTATCCTCTCAGAGCCTTTAAACTTCAAACTGTCTGAGCTCATGTGAATATTAATGAAAGTATGATTTATTTTTCTCTATATAAGAACTCAGGTTATGCAAGAAAAGTCCACGGTTATTACCGGTCACCTTATTTGTTTTCTTTGTGCTAAACTGTGGAGAAGCTCAGAGGCATTTTGAATCCAACAAAGCCCTTCTGTCCAGGAATTACACACAAGCTTGTGCTCGTTTTTGATGCTTAACGTCTGAGACTTTGGGGGGAGATGATATTAAAAGTTGGATAAAGAGGGAGACAATAAGGGTGAGAAGGAACGAGAGGAATGAAGAAACAGCAGGTTGGGTCGGTACAGGAAAAGACTCAGGGAGATTTAATGAAAGATAGATTAAAATCTGTGCCTAAAGGTTATTTGTGCCCTACTTTCTTTTCTTTTCCTTTCCTTTTTTTTTGATGAGTATAAATGAGAAATCTTTAGTGTTTTTCTCCTTTACCCTCTCTGATCTAGAGTCCAATAAAAACAACAACAGCAGAAAAAAATGGGATGAGTGGACGGAGTGTGGGACTTACTTGCACACTGTTCCAACTCGACGTTGTTGCTCATGTGGATGTTGTCTATTCTGATGTGTCCTCTGGTTGGATGATCAAAAAACCCCTCAAACACCACCTGAAAAGGTTTGAAACAACCAAAACTAAAATTATTGTGTGTGGCACAACAGCACTGTGTGCCAAAGCTACAATAATCTACTGTACAAGATGATGCAGTTTCACAATAAAAGCATAGAAATCTAAACTGCTTCACTTTTTTGACGAAAAAAAAAAAAAAAATATATATATATATATATATATATATATATATATAGGAGTCCCTCATTTATCGCAGGGGATCCATACCCTGAAGACCCGCAATAAGTGAAAAATAGCGAAGAAGAAATAGTTGTGTAAGTAGTAGTTTATTTTATTATTTATATAAATATATATTAAGGCATTTAAAACCCTTCCCACACTCTTGTAATACTCTTTGCCACCTGCAAGCTCTCTTGGCCACGCCCACTTCTCTGCTCTGCAGCTGAACATCTGATCAGCTGTTCAACTGTAGCAGGACGATTATCTTGTTGCAGTAAGGGCTGCACAAAGCTGCAGGAGGTGCTAAATAATTTATTTTAAATAAAAATTTCATGCCGATCGTGCAGCTCATCCATCAATCAGCCAGTTGTGTGTCATGTCCAACCTTATTTTGAAAAACCGCGATAGAGCAAATCTGCGATAAACGAACCACAAAGTAGCGAGGGACTACTGCAGTACTCTTTTGGGGGGGGGGGTGGGGGGTGGTTGTGGCTGAGTAGTTAAAGCAGTCATCGTCCAATGCAAGAGTTGAGGGTTTGACTCCACCAGCGATCACATGCCGAAGTGTCACTGGGCAAGACACTGAACCCCTCATCGCCTCTGATGTGTGTCCCATCGGTGTATGAATGTGATAAAGCTCTGATTAGTCTCTTTAGAATGATTTGTTCAATTAGCTTTGTAGAGATCTAGTAGAGAGTTGTATGAATGGGTAAATGAAGGCACAGATTGTAGCGTAAAGCTCTTTGAGTATCTTGATAAGATAGAAGGGCGCTATATAAGTACAGTCCATTTACCATTTTAAAATTATGACATGCATAATGAAGGGACATATATCCTAATAGTTGGTTAGGGGTCAGGATAAAATAGGTTTTGACCTAGATAATAAATAAAAACAGGGTTGCAGCTTCACAATCCTACCCTAAACAAACAACTATATGAGTAAAACCCACAAATAACTGGTCCAGATGATATGATTTAACTTTTTTGGTTGTTATCTACCTGGATGATTGAGCTTACAAACCCTTTGTTCTGAACTATTTTGTCCTTGGTGTCCTCAAGCTGTTTCTGTGAGTAGCAAGTCAACCATCTGGCCTAAAACATTTGATTACTGTTCATGATGATTGATTGTTTTGAATGGATGGGCCCATTTTCATGTGTTGAACGCCTGCTTCCAACAGGAGGATGGCTTGAAACACAGCAGTGAAGGCTACTTATGGGACAGCTCTGGTTGGCAGACTGCAGACTGACCAAGTCTTCCGAATGAGAGACGAAACGTTTCTCACTTAAAGAAGCTGGTCCAGATGGCATGATTTAACCTTTTTTGTTGTTGTTGCTACAAATTCACCATTTTTTGGTGACAAAATAACATTTTGCATATGTGGAATAAATAAATAGATGTCTGGCCTTGGCATTTTTGCCGTCAACACCTATTATGACACATTGGCTCCCTACCTGATACTCTTTGGGGCTTTGTGGAAGGATGGTTCGGCCTTCTTTCCAGTGGGGCCCCTGGTCACCTTTTAGTGCCCATAAGAGGGTGTCTTCCAGGTTGCTGTCCCTCAGCAGGACCCTCAGGCTCCCCTGCGCCTCCCCCTGGAGTTGGTAGTAGAACAGAAGACAGAGCGGGCCTCGTTCTGGCCCCACCTCAGGGCTCAGCAGTCGAGCTATCTTGCGCTGAGTGTGGGAGCCGGCATCCAGGTGGAGGTAGTTCCCTGAAAAATCTGGTAGGATGAAAAACAAATTTGGTGTTACATATCTGTATATGTTGCACTGTAAAAAGGATTTTGAAGGGTTGCAAATACTAACCAAATAACTTCTATGGGGTACCAAGTATGGTTAAACAAACCAACAACATATATTGCAGCATTACAGTGCCGTATAAAGACCTGGCATGGTTACTACAGTATTTTGGATCATTTTCCATGTGGACAAGGACATTTCAAGAAACAATGTCATGCTCACTAGACTATTTTCAGAAATGATAGATAAAAAGGTTGTTTTTGGAAAGACTGTATTTCTGTGTGGCATAAGTTGGTTGCATTTTTAGCCACAACGTTGGCACCACGTGGTTAGCAAGGTGGCTGATCTGTTTGTACATGGAAACTGTAATATGATGCTTTTTAATTTTAATAGACTACATGCAACGTAAAGTTCAGACTGCCTCTTTATTGTCTAAAAACAGTAACACAAATATGTCCAACATAAAACTCCTAAGGACAGTTTTGGTGTTATATTGGATAGAATGTGACCCACGGGTCGTTACTTTCTATAAAATAGTAATATATAATAAGCATTAATGTACACTATAATTTTAAAGTGAGTTGCACCTGGTACATTTTGTTATAGTATTTCCCTTGAGAGCATGTTCATAAGGTTTCTGTAAAACAGTTTCTAATGCATTAAATATAAATTTTACCATATTCTCTGATTTACGATGTTGACATTTAATAATGCCACAGGATATAGCTTGGAATATTAATACCGCCATTTACCACCATTTTTCTGGCTTAACTGTAAATCATGCTGCCATTTCATCATGGCTGCCGATGGCTCATACATGGCTCATACATACACATGGGCAAAAAAATGTGAGAAACAAGATGTGCACAAGATGTGTTTATCCATCCATCCATCCATCCATCCATCCATCCACCCATCCATCCATCCATCCATCCATCCATCCATCCATCCATCCATCCA